ATAAATGGACAAGCTCTTAAATTTTGTTATGGCCAAATAGATTTTTAGCCCTTCTCCTCTTTTTGTATAAAAAGGTTAATGTATTCTGACCCTTTCTATTGTTAAGGCTGTAAAGCTCAGGGTGCGGGTGAACAAACTCTGATCACGCTGGTTAGCAAAAACGTCATAGCCACTGGGGCGTAGGTTTCTTGCAGTCCAACCAGTTTTACTCAGCGTTCGTTTCCGCAACCCTTGCTTCTAGATCTTAACATGAGAGAGGGTCAGGCATAGAGAATGTTTGTTAGGTGGATATACTCTTAAATGCGTACCGACTCTTTTCGTAGTTAAGGCTAAAAAGCTCGGGTTACGGAAAAAACTCTAATCATGCGGGTGAGCAAAAATGACGTAGCCGCTGGGGCATAGGTTTCTTACAGTCCGACCAATTTTACTCAGCGTTTGTTTCCACGACCTTCGCTTCTAGGTCTTAATGTGAGAAAGAGTCAGGCATAGAGAATGTCTACCGGGTCGGGTGTCACTAAAGATTGGGGAGTTGATAGCGAAACTGATAAGAGAAAGTGTTCGTATATTAAGGATAAAAGCGACGTAGCTGTTTGATGTTCTAGGGGTTGACGAAGACTTTGTCATCGATGGTCTTGAGCTTGTAGGTGTCTGGTCAGAGCACCTCCACGATTACGTATGGTCCCTCCCATGGTGTAGAGAGCTTGTGGCTGTTCTTATTGCTATGGACGAGGCGGAGCACCATGTCCCCGACGTTGAAGGCCTGACTCCGCACTCAATGACTATGGTACTGACGCAACGCTTGCTGGTACTTGGCCGAGCAGAGGAGGGCAATGTCACGTGCTTTATCTAGCCGGTCCATGGCATCCTTGAGGGATGCCTCGGCTCCCTGTTCATCATACGTCCTGACCCTCGACGCTCCATAATCAAGGTCGGTCGAGAGGATAGCCTCAGAATCGTAGACCATGAAGAATGGTGTGTAGATGGTGGCCCGGCTGGGGGTCATCCTCAGGCTCTAGAGCACCGTGGGAACCGCTTCATGAGGACGTAGTCCTTGTATAGGTGTTCGACGGGGAAAGCATGGTTTGGGCATGGCCCTTCGAGCAGCTTCTTGAAGTGGTTCGAGATACCCTCAGCGGGCTTCCGACCCCCCTTGTAGTCGGCGATAGCCACGAGCGAGCCCTCACGCCACTGCTTATTCTTCTTCTTGCTGGGACGGTTGGAGGCGCCTTCGCCGGCATCCTTGCCTTGCTTAGCCTTGCCTTTGAGGTGGTCAAAAATTGCCCTGACCGCCTCCTCGCCCGAGGCATGGCTGGTGGCGATGTTGAGGAGCTCTTTGGTGGTTCATGAGCCCTTACGTCCTAGCTTGTGAACCAGGGACTCACAGGTCGTCCCAGATAGGAAAGCTCCTATGATGTCAGCGTCGGCGACGTTGGGTAGCTCGTTGCACTGTCGGGAGAAGCACCGGATGTACCCACGAAGAGTCTCCCTGGACTTCTATCGGCAATTTTTGAGATCTCATGTGTTCCCAGGACACGTGTATGTGCCCTGGAAGTTTCTCACGAAGATCTCTTTTAGGTCTGCCCAACTTTGGATTCAGTTGGGCGAAAGGTGTTCAACCACGTTCATACCGAATCGGCCAGAAACAATGGAAGGTTGCGAATAATGAAATCGTCATTATCCGTTCCACCAGCTTGGCAAGCAAGCCAATAATCCTTGAGCCACAGTCGGTGGTTCATTTCCCTAGAGTATTTTGGGATGTTGGTCGGCGGTCGGTACCGCGGTGGGAAGATGGCGTTGATGATTTGCCAGCCAAAGGCCTGAGGTCCTAGCAAGTTGGGGCTCGGGCTTTAGTCCTTGCCGCTGTCGTAGCATCCACCACGACGTGAGTGGTAGCCACAGCTTGCCTCCTCCCTTGCATCACCGCGAGTACGCCTGCGGGCGTCGAGGGTGTCACGCGCATCACGGTGGAGGCCAAGATGTTCATACACCAGGACCGCGGTGCGTGGCCTACTGCCTTGCCGTGCCTAGTGGACTGACACATCCTTGTCGGGTCGCTCTAAGGGCATGTGCTGGCTAGCATCGAGCTCGCGTCGTCGGGATAGCGAGCTCTCAGCCTATTGTGCCGCCGCACGCTCGAGTAGCGTGCGAATCTCATGATGGGCCCGAGGATCCTCGGGCGTCGCGGGCCTCGAAAGCCCCCGGAGCAAGGCCGCTACAGCAACGATGTTCTGGCTCGCTCAGGTGAAGTGTGGGAGGGCTTCATCGTCCTCGATGATACTCTGGTTCACATCACGGGCCACGGTGCGTGCATGCCCGCTGTCTCCATGGTGCTCGATCTCTCGCTCGAGCTCTGCGCGTTCCTGCTCGAGCTGGAGTCGTGCTTCCTCGAGCTCTTGGTGTTAGGCCTTCAGGTGCTCCACCCACAGGCGAGGTGGGGCCCCTACATCCCCCTCAACCTTGTCATCGAGGTCTTTTGTTGGGATAGCCTCTCCCTCGTGGATGCTTTCGACTTGTCCCTCAAGGGTATCTATCATGAAACATTCACGAGAGGGGTGATGGCTTCCCCTGCTGGAGTCAGAGCTAGAGGGTGACTCTGATTCTTCTGCGAGGAGGTCATGGAAAGATTCTATGACATATTCGGTCATCCCCACGAACTCATCGTTCATAGGGGATGGGGACGTGCGTTGCGCCACAAGGTGGCCAACAGTCTTTGCGGCGTTGCGCAGACCAAATGGGAGCGCTGTCGGGGCGCTCCGTATGAGGTATTCCGTAGAGAGCGGCTCTCCTCTGGCAAGCTGTGTCATGACGTTGGCTAACGAGAAGGTGAGGTGGCCCAGGTCCTCCTAGGACGATCGGGGTCCCAGTAAGGCGCCGAGCTGGAGCTCTAACCTCCCGTAATCGACGTCGAGGGGCTGGTCGCTCCTGGGGGCGCAGGCCTCTGGTGCGTGCAGTTGCAGCTCCTCAAGCGCCTCGGCGATCACGTCAAGGTTGGCGGGGTTGAGAGGTTGGACGATGACAGGAGCCTGCGCCAACTCTCCCTCTGTCGTGACGATGAAGTCTAGGTTCCTGAAGCACACGTGCGCGCCTGGGACCCAGCTGACGCCGTGACTAGCCATCCGAGGCCTGATGTGGACGTCGAGACACGCAAAAGACCCCTACCTAGCGCGCCAACTGTCGGTGTTTTGAGTTACCACCGAAGAGTAAATTTCTAGTATTACGCGTCTGGCTCGGGTGGTGTGCTTCGAAGACACGAGGTTTATACTGGTTTGGGCAGAAAGTCCCTACGTTCAGTTCATCGCTGATGCTCGTGTTACTAGCACTAAAAGTTTATAGTATGGGTTACAAACAGGTAAGAGAGGGAAAGGACCCTAAGTCTCTGGAGGAAAAAATAAACGGGTGCTTAGAGCTCTGTCATTGCTCTTGTGTTTCTATCTCATGGTTCAGTTGTGTGCGGGTCTGGATCGAATCCGGCTCGATGGGTTGATCCCCTTCATGGGGCGCCCTGCTTTCCCTTTTATAAGCCAAGGGAAAGCGCGGGTTACAGTGGAGGAAAAGGAGAAGAACGAGCGAGAGGAATGCTTTCAGGATGGTTCCTTCTTCTTCTCCTTCATGCGGGTCCTTCTTCTCCTTCATGCGGGTCCTGCCGATCCTGTGGATGTCAACAGGGATGGTTCCACGTCGCGGCCCTGTTCGTCACTGGCGCTATGCGTAGGCGTCACCTACCGGTCATGGCGTCCCATTCTGTCCCGACGGGCGTCGTGGTGAACTGATGAGCCTGTCAGCGTTCATACGAGGGTTAGGTAGAACAGCACCGGCACGCCCGACGCTGTTCTTGATGTGAATCCTCAGGTATGGCCCATCATGGCCACGGGTTACATCGGGGTGTTATGGTCTTTTCTTTGGTGTCAGAGTTTTGACCCAGGCCCATACGCTTGGACCTGAAGTGGTTGGCGGTGGTATGGGTCCCCGTCGAGCGAGACAGAGCCCACATCCGAGGGGTCAGGCGAGGCGGAGCCCGCGGCCTTGAGGTTGGACGAGGCGGAGCCCCTGACCTAGAGGTCGGGCGAGGCGGGGCCCCCGACCCCGACGTCGGGCGAGACAGAGCCCGCACACCCGGGGGTCGGTTGGAGCTGTAGTCGCACTCTTGACTGCTCGGATGAATCAATGTTGATGACCATTAGCTTCTCCTTTTCGAGTATCCTAGTATTGGTCCCCGATAAAATCCTTGTGTCCTCCGAGCACATCATCCGAGCCATACGCGCAAATACAAATTTACTCGTCGGTGGTCCGAAAACACCGACAGATTCGATCCTAACCCAATCCACTACTCAACTTTATGTCCTGATCCAACTTGTGGCTCTTGACCTTAGGCCCTGTTTAGTAGAGCTCCCAAAGCTTATTCTCTGTCGAATTCAGTAGGACCTCTGTCAAATAGTTTTTTTTATAGAGTAGTGATTTTCTGCTGATTTCATGAAGTGGTTCTCTGAAATGGAGGCTAAGAGCTCTTGGTTCTGTAAAGTGATTCTCAACGTAATTTTGAGAGTTTATGGTAAAAAAATAAAAAAATCACTTTAAATCACAGAGTAACTTCTATTAGAGAATCAACTTTGACGGAGAATCAGAATCAGAATCAGATAGAGCCCTACCAAAATTACCCTTAAAATCCAAAATTACCCTTAAAATCCTAGTTCGATCCTCATACTATTCAGATCCTAGGGCCGGTACTTTTGAAGAAAAAAAAGAGATTTGCTAACCTACGTTCGGTTGTTTCTCACGAACCCAGCAACCGAATTTTCCCCACCACCGAAGCCTCCGTCAGTCCGTCTCCCCCCGCGCCGCCACCAAGACCACCGCCAGCAGCTCCTCCCGCGCCACCGAAACCGCCGCCAGCACCTCCACCTCGCGCTGCCATAGCCGAAAAACCCTAGCCCAACTCTCCCTTCCCTCGCCCATCCCACTCCTTTCGTCCGATTCGAGGAGGCCAACGGAGGGGCTAGGGCATGGCGACCGATGTGCAGCTCAGGGAGTGGGTCTCCGACAAGCTCATGAGCCTCTTGGGCTACTCCAAGGACGTCGTCGTCCAGTACGTCATCAGGCTTGCGAAGGAGTCCTCTTCAACGGGTGACCTCGTGGGCAAGCTCGTCGAGTTCGGGTTCACCTCGTCTGCGGAGACCCGTGCCTTCGCGTCGGATGTCTACGCCAAGGTTCCCCGCAGGGCCAGCGGCATCTGTAATTACCAGAAGCAGGAGAGGGAGGCGGCAAAGCTTGTCCAGAAACAGAGCACTTACAAGCTGTTGGCCAACGAGGATGACAATACTGACAACCAGACACCAACAAGTCAAAAGACCTCAACAAATCCATCATCTAAGAGTCGGAAGCATTTCAGGAGGAAAGCAGATCAAGACAGTGGTGATGATGAAATAGTGGCAAAAAATTCTGGAAGGAATGTCCATCGGCGAACAGAAGAGGAGGATGAAGAAGGTGGCGCCGGCAGTTCTGATGAAGAGAAAGAAAGGATTAGAGGTCAGCAGGAAAAGGCCCAGCTAGAAATGAACATGAGAGAAAGAGATGCGGCTAACACAAGGAAGTTGATGGAGCGACAATTATCTAAGGAAGAACAAGAAGAGCTTACTAGAAGATCTCAAGCAATGGACAAGAATGACACATCTGATCTGAGAAAATTCTCAAGGCAAGCATACCTGCAAAAGTGACGGGACAAAAAAATTGAGGAAATTCGTGATGAAATTCTGGACCACCAGTACATTTTTCAGGGTGTGAAACTAACAGAGGCAGAAGAAAAGGAGTTGAGATACAAGATGAAGATATATGATCGTGTCAAGGAATATGTTGAGACCCCTGATGATGTTGGTGAGTACAAAATGCCTGAAGCTTATGACATGGATGAAAATGTTAATCAAGAGAAGAGATTCTCTGTGGCCATGCAGCGGTACAAAGATCCTGAGGCCAAGGATAAAATGAACCCTTTTGCTGAACAGGAAGCATGGGAAGAACACCAAATAGGAAAGTCGAAACTGCAATTTGGATCCAAAGATAAGAAGCCGTCTTCAGATGAGTATCAGTATGTATTTGAAGATACGATTGATTTTGTTAAATCATCAGTCATAGAAGGAACCCAGCCTGAAGACGATTCAGATAAAGAGGACATTGAAGCAAAAGATATTTTGAAAAGGGAGCTCCAGGATGAGCAAAAGACACTTCCAATTTTCAAATTTAGGGATGGGCTGCTTAAGGCTGTAGAAGAGTATCAGGTTATCGTCATAGTGGGTGAGACTGGGTCCGGTAAAACAACACAAATACCTCAGTACCTTCATGAGGCTGGGTATAATGCGAAAGGAAAGGTTGCGTGTACTCAACCTCGTTGAGTGGCTGCCATGAGTGTTGCAGCAAGAGTATCTCAAGAAATGGGTGTTAAACTTGGACATGAGGTTGGTTACTCTATAAGATTTGAGGATTGCACTTCAGATAAAACAATTATTAAGTACATGACTGATGGAATGCTTCTAAGGGAGTTCCTTGGTGAACCAGATTTGGCTAGCTATAGTGTTGTCATGGTTGATGAGGCTCATGAGCGTACCCTCTCCACTGATATCTTATTTGGTCTGGTGAAGAATATTTCTCGTTTTCGACCAGACCTGAAGTTGCTCATTTCTAGTGCCACCCTTGATGCAGAAAAATTTAGTGACTACTTCGATTCAGCTCCTATTTTCAAGATACCTGGGAGGCGATACCCGGTTGAAATTCATTATACAAAAGCCCCAGAGGCTGATTACATAGATGCAGCAATTGTCACTGTTTTACAGATACATGTGACACAACCGCCTGGAGATATCCTGGTGTTTCTCACAGGTCAGGAGGAAATTGAAACAGTTGATGAAATCCTTAAACACAGAACAAGGGGCTTAGGCACCAAAATTTCTGAATTAATTATATGTCCTATTTATGCAAATCTGCCTACCGAGCTTCAAGCTAAGATATTTGAGCCAACCCCCGAGGGTGCCCGTAAGGTGGTTCTGGCCACTAATATAGCAGAGACTTCATTAACCATTGATGGTATAAAATATGTTATTGATCCAGGCTTTTGTAAGATCAAATCATACAATCCCCGCACATGAATGGAATCTCTACTTATTAATCCTATCTCAAAAGCTTCAGCAAACCAGAGGGTAGGAAGATCTGGACGCACTGAACCCAGAAAATGCTTCCGTCTATACACGAGTTATAACTACATGCACGACCTAGAAGATAATACTGTTCCGGAGATCCAACGAACCAATCTTGCGAATGTTGTGCTTACACTCAAGAGTCTTGGTATTCATGACTTAGTTAACTTTGACTTCATGGATCCACCTCCATCAGAAGCCCTATTAAGGGCTCTGGAACAACTTTTTGCTCTCAGTGCACTCAACAGTCGTGGAGAGTTGACCAAGACTAGAAGAAGAATGGCAGAATTTCCACTGGATCCTATGTTGTCGAAGATGATTGTTGCTTCAGAGAAATATAAGTGTTCTGACGAGATTATCTCCATTGCATCCATGTTGTCAATTGGCAATTCTATATTTTATCGTCCGAAGGACAAACAAGTTCACGCAGATAATGCAAGGTTGAACTTCCACACTGGAAATGTTGGGGACCATATAGCACTACTAAATGTGTATAATTCTTGGAAAGAAACAGACTATTCAACTCAATGGTGTTATGAAAACTATATACAGGTGCGCAGCATGAAGAGGGTAAGAGATATTCGGGATCAACTACAGGGGCTTATGGAAAGAGTTGAGATTGAGATTTGCTCAAATGCCAGTGATTTAGATGCTATTAAAAAAGCTATAACATCAGGTTTCTTCCATCATTCTGCACGGTTGCAGAGGGATGGTACATATAAGACTGTCAAGAACCCTCAGACCGTACATATCCATCCTAGTTCAGGATTAGCGGAGATACGTCCGTGGTGGGTAGTATACCATGAATTGGTTCTCACAACAAAAGAGTTTATGCACCAGGTGACGGAACTGAAGCCTGAATGGCTGGTAGAGATAGCACCACATTATTACCAACTAAAGGATGTGGAAGACTCTGGAACAAAGAAGCTACCAAAGGGCCAAGGACGAGCTGCATTGTAGCTAGGACCCATGGATGTTTTGTGTTGGACTCAGCCTAGGAGCGTCACGCTTTGAGTGAAGATGTATATAACTCCTTATATTGCGAACATGATAGATGATGTCACTATTCATTGTCCTACTTAGGTTTCAGAGTAACTGATTGTTCATGTAAATTATGACATGAAGACATGCATGTGAACCGCTATAATTGTCACACTAGGGGGTTGCCAGCCGCCATGCTGGACGATCGTCAGCATCCTCCCGCCGTTGGGAGTTGGGACTATTGTCCAATAAAATTCATATGTGCCTTGCCTAAAAAAAATTATAGTTCCAAACAAATTAGGAAACCAGACAATGTATACATCAATTTTTGTTGTTGAGAATGGTGCTAATGAAAAAAAAGGCTCAACATGCCAAGCAGAACTCCATCTGGCTGGCTTCATTGAAACTTCAGTGATCTATGCCTCCTGAATTCAGCATTATTCCTTTGTAGTGATACCAGCCATGACTTCACAGCTTCTGATCTATATCATGGCCAACTGATTTATCCTGAAGATGAAAAGTAACCATGAAGACATTATGCCAGAAGAAAATAGTCACTACATGATATAAAAATCCAGAATAAATTAATTTTACTGAATGTGTATTATTAGTTTAACTCCGCCTATGTTGTCTCAACATAGCAGGTTCCAAGTCCTGGTAAAGGAGGAGGGTTGTGATAGGCATGGCGAGCCAATGTTAAATCTAGCCATTCTAATGGAGATGAAACCCGAAAGAAAACCGTTGGGGCGTAACCCTCTTAGCGACGCGCCATATCAGAACCCGGGTATGGTGTTAAATGAGTAAGGGCCGGGTCGGCACCCCCTTGGTGACGCGCCGTGCCGCGATCTGGGCATTGTGTCAAGTGAGCAAGGATCGGGTCGTCGCTTTCTTAGTGGCGCGCTACATCGACGCCCGGGTGTAGTGAAAAATGAGCAAGGGTCTTCACATTTGAGTCGACGGGTGCGAAGGGTAAGGAAGCTAGTCGAAAGGGTCTTCACATTTGAGTCGACAGGTGCGAAGGGTAAGGAAGCTAGTCGAACCAACTAGGATCTGTTTAGGTAGTTGGAATGTAGGGTCGCTTACAGGTAAGTTAAGAGAATTAGTTGATACCGCGACTAGGAGGCGTGTAAATATATTATGCGTTCAAGATACTAAATGGAAGGGTTAGAAGGTGAAGGAGGTGGACAATACATGTTTCAAGCTTTGGTACACAGGGACAGTCGCGAATAGAAATGGAGTAAGAGTTTTGATTGATAAGAGCCTCAAGAATGGTGTGGTGGGAGTGAGAAGGCAAGAAGATAGGATTATCTTAGTCAAGCTTGTCATTGGTGATATGGTCTTGAACGTAATTAGTGTGTATGCCCCCCAAGTAGGCCTCGACGAGAGTGCTAAAAGACAGTTCTGGGAAGACTTAGATGGCCTGATTAGAGCTGTACCTAGTAGTGAGAAGCTTTTTATAGGAGATCTTAATGGGCATGTAGGTACTACTAGCGTACGTTTCGAGGCAGTTCATGGAGGTTTTGGGTATGGTAGTAGGAATCAGGAGGGGGAGAAAGTTCTGAACTTCGCGGTAGCTTTTGACCTGATGATAGCCAACACTTTCTTTAGAAAGAGAGAATCTCATCTAGTGACCTTCAGTAGCGGACAACACTCTAGCCAGATTGACTTTGTCCTCGCAAGAAGAAAGGACAAACGAGCATGCTTGGGTTGCAAGGTGATATCAGGGGAGTGTGTTGTTTCTCAACATAAGCTTTTGGTGGCAGACTTTCGTTTTCATGTGCGTGCCCGTAGGGATAAACAAGCTAAGATTGAAAGAACAAAGTGGTAGAAACTGAAAGGGGAGACGTCAGAGGTATTCAGGGAAAGAGTTATCAAATAGGGCTTTTGGAAGGAAGAAGAGGACATAAACAACATGTGGGAGAAGATGGCAACCAACATTCGGAAGGTGGCCTCAGAGGTGTGTGGAGTAACCAAAGGAAGTGGAGGCGAGGCTAAAGATACTTGGTGGTGGATCAAGGAAGTCCAAAGGGCTATTAAGGAGAAGAAAGAATGCTATAAACGCTTGTACCATGACAGGAGTGTGGACAACATAGAGAAGTATAAGGTGGCAAAAAAGACTATAAAGCGAGTTGTAAGTGTGGCAAAAGGTAGAGCGTACGAGGATCTTTATCAACATTTGAGTACAAAGGAAGGAGAGAATGACATTTATAGGATGACTAGGATTCATGAGAGAAAGACAAGGGACTTCAACCAAGTTAAATGCATTAAGGATAAAAGGGAGCATCTCTTGGTGAAGGAGGATGAGATCCGACATCGATGGCAAGAATATTTTGACAAATTGTTCAATGGTGAGAATACGGACACAACCTTTCAGTTGGATGACTCTTTTGATGACACCAATAGACGCTTTGTATGGAGAATCCAAGAATCTGAGGTCAGAGAGGCGTTAAAAATGATGAAAGAAGGTAAGGCGATGGGACCGGATGGTATCCCAATCGAGGTGTGGAGATGCCTCGGGGACATAGCTATAGTATGGCTAACCAAGCTATTCAACCATATTTTTCGATCGAACAAAATGTCTGACGAGTGGAGAAGTATATTGGTACCAATTTATAAGAATAAAGGGGATATTCAAAGTTGTACTAATTACTGAATAATTAAGTTGATGAGCCATACTATGAAGCTATGGGAGAGAGTTATCGAGCATCGCTTGAGAGCAATAACGCGGGTCTCTATGAACCAATTTGGTTTTATACCCGGAAGGTCAACCATGGAAGCTATTTTCTTAATAAGAAAAATTATGGAGCAGTATAGGGAGAAGAAGGACCTACACATGTTTTTTATTGACTTGGAGAAGGCTTATGATAAAATACCAAGGAATGTTATGTGGTGGGCTTTGTACAAACATAAAGTCCCAACGAAGTACGTCGGGCTCATTAAGGACATGTACAACAATGTTGTGACTAGTGTTCGAATAAGTGATGGAGACACGGATGACTTCCCGATTAGGATAGGACTACATCAAATGTCAGCTTTAAGCCCTTATCTGTTTGCCTCAGTGATGGATGAGGTCACAAGGGGACATCCCTTGGTGTATGCTTTTCGCGGATGATGTAGTGCTAGTTGATGAAAACCGGACAGGAGTGAATCAGAAACTGGAGTTATGGCGGGAGATTTTGGAGTCCAAATGTTTTAGACTCAGTAGAACTAAAACGGAATATATGAGATGTGACTTCGGCACTACTACTCGGGAGGAGAAAGATATTAGTTTGGAAGGTCAAGTAGTGCCTAGGAAGGATACCTTTCGATATTTAGGATCAATGTTACAGTGAGACGGGGATATTGATGAAGATGTTAGCCATAGAATCAAAGCAGGGTGGATGAAGTGACGCCAAGCATCTGGTGTCCTATGTGACAAAAGGGTACCACAGAAGCTAAAAGGCAAGTTTTATAGGACGACGATTAGACCTGTTATGTTGTATGGTGCAGAATGTTGGCCTACGAAAAGACGACATGTTCAACAGATAAGTGTCACGGAAATACATATGTTGCGTTGGATTTGCGGTCATACAAGAAGGGATCGAGTTCAGAACGATGATATACGTGATAAATTAGGGGTAGCACCAATTGAAAAAAAGCTTGTCCAACACCGGTTAAGATGGTTTGAATATGTCCAACGGAGACCTCCAGAGGCACCGGTGCGTAGTGGAATCCTAAGCCAGGATAGTAACGTGAAGAGAGGCAGAGGAAGACCGAAGTTGACTTGGATAGAGACAATAAAATGAGACTTGAAAGGATGGAATATACCCAAAGACTTAGCCTTAGATAGGAGTGCTTAGAAAACAGCTATTCAAGTGCCTGAACCTTGATTGCTTCTGCTGGGTTTCAACTCTAGTCTATCCCAACTTATTTAGGACTTAAAGGCTTTGTTGTTTTTGTTGTCGTTGTTGTGTATTATTAGTTTCTCTACCATGTGCAAATTCAGCAAGTACAATGTAAAATACTGTGCTGCTGTTACGAAGTTGGACCTGCCAGCACCAATGAGTGAAATATTAATTTAGGAAGTTGCCCCTACAGCTCCTAAAAAATGAGTTTTTCCACCAAAAACAAGGCTAGTGTTCCCCATTTAATTAGCAAGAACCTGCCAGGATGTTATGTATCCTGTTCATGCATGGCAACAAAAGCCTTGTGCATGGCTAAAGAACCTAGAGGAAGGGACTGAAGGCGAAATGGATTTTTTTTTAAAAAAATTCTGAAATATTTATGAACGAGACAGACATCTACTAGTAACAAATGAAGGTGACACTGAGCAATGAGCTCACAACCCCTGTCGGCTTGGTGCAACTACTACTGGTAGGAAACATGGCAATGCAACGTTTCGTATACTATTGGTCTTGGAATATGGAACGCGAAACAACCTCTCTCAATGGCTAGTTTTGTTTCACTGTTTTATAGGCTTGTTGTAGCATTTACTTCTTGTGTTTTGCAATCAAATATGCCGTACAGGATATAGTTGATCCGAACACCATCTTTTTCTAAACTCTATCAAACGTAACATACTGACCAAGAGAGAATTTTGGTTCTTCAATAGACGTTGAACTGGGAGCCACATTCAGATCTAGATTATCTTTAATGTCCTCTTCCTTTTCATCTTCAACTATCATATTGTGAAGTATGATGCAAGCTAGCATAACGTCATGGAGTTGATCTCGGTCATATAGACGAGTAGGTCGTTTTAAAATGCAAAATCGACGACGCAATACACCAAAGGCTCTTTTGATATCCTTTCTTGCCCCTTCTTGCTGTGCAAACAACTTGTCCTTGTCAGTAATGGGCATACGTATTGACTTCACAAGTACAACCCATTCTGGGTATATTCCATCAGCAAGATAGTACCCTAAGATGTGTTGATTCCCATTGACCATGTATTGGACTCTAGGAGCTTGTCCTTTTAGCTCTTTAATAAATAGAGTACATTTGTTCAAAACATTAATATCATTGTTAGAACCCGCAACTCCAAAGAACGCATGCCAAATCCAAAGATCATGTGATGCCACGGCCTCAAGAATCAACGTCGACACTTTCTGATCATCATGAATGAACTGACCCTTCCATGCAGTTGGCCATCTTTCCCATTGCCAATGCATGCAGTCAATGCTGCCGAACATACCAGGAAAACCTCATCTCTCACCAAGTTTGAGTAGACGGTTCAGTATCCTCCATAGTGGGGCGCCTCAAATACCGTTCACCAAATATAGCTCTAACACCTTTGACAAAATTCTTCATATTGCCTCCATTGCAGTAGTTTCTCCAATCTTCAAGTATTCATCTAGTTCATCCGCAGCACTGCCAATAGCAAACTGGCGAATAGCCACAGTGCACTTCTATAGTGGAGTGAGCCATTGCCGATTAAGGGCATCCACCCTTAGAGTGAAGTAATCAGACCATTGGCCTAAAGACTCAACGATGCGGATAAAAAGTGGCCAAGACATGAAATCTTCCATAACATTTCCATTGAGACTGGTCTTATACAAACATAGACAAGACTAGCCTCCGTTAATGTGTGGTCGTAAGCAAGCAAAGCAGTAGTAACTGGCCAAACAGAAAAAGCAAAAACTTAACTAGGCAGAGTCTGGATTGTCCAGACCAAACCAAGCAGCATGCTTACTAGACAATGATGAATATCGAAGTGTGTTCAAACTTCATTTCATGGTATACCACAATCCAATAGTGTTTGTTTTCGTTGACGCTGGACACTACCATTTCATGCATACCACAATCAATTGAAAATAGATAAAATACCTGCAGGGCAAGAAACATACCACATGGTTGTAGCACTAATCATCTTCCTCATCATCTGAAGTGAACATACATTGTCCGGTCAGCTGCTCACCTACATTGATGAACAAGAAAAATAGTTATTATTCAGTTCATGTGCAACAAATAAAGTTCAGAGGCAACAAATTTACCTTCCTCTTCGTCACTGAACCCAAAAAGCCAATCCTTCACACAAATTAACGCAAGTGTCTCTAGAGCAAGCGATGTTCAGTTTTCCCTAGAATCCTTCCGACGGCACTAAAAGCAGACTCTGATGACACTGTGCTCACCGGGGTAGCTACGAAATCTCTAACCATCAGAGATAAGATTGGGAGCACATCAGAATTCTTTTTCCACCATACAAGGACATTGAATTTCTCACGTACTTTGCAAATAAAGATGTATCATTTTTCCAAAATAAAGGATTTTCAAGGTAGTTGATTTACTCTTCTTGTGATTAAAGTGGTGTCATGTAGTTGAAACATGTGTCTAAACGGTCTATGGTGAAAAACAATGCTCGGCTGTGCTCTTTGCAGCATTGTGCAGCAGCTATTGTAGAGCACTGTGAAGCAAAATTAATAGATGTGGTGCACAAGCAGCCATAGCAGCTGCAGCCATGCCAAAAAGTGTACGGGCAGGCCAAACGTTTTTTGTTAAGAGGACAAACAGAGCATATCTAACATGGACTCTAAATAGAGCTCGTACTCTATTTTTTGTGCCAAAGATAAAACCTTAATCCAATAGTCCTAACTCAAGTTCCTATTCTGTGAAGACCCTCGAATCTCCACTCTTAGCCCCATCTCCCATGGGTGCGTAAGAAGCTACACAGCCAAGAAAATTTTCTCCCCACCAACTCACTCCCGCATTGCAGCCCTATTCTCCTCTCCTGTCGTGGCTCCTCTGGCGAAACCCCTCGGCCTGGTGAGGCTACCCTCTCGGACGTCCTTACCGTCTGTTCCGGTCAGGTCCATTCAATGCGGCATACTTCCTCTGCAGCCGCGAATAATTTAAATCTCTTACGACCCGTGTAAGAAGTTTAGATACACTGCGCCCAGACTAAGGAATCAGAGTGTATGACCTCGGTTTTTCTGGAATGAATTAATCGATGTTTTCTGTTTACATTGGCTTCAATTGTCTGTGGATTTGGTATGATGCCCAAGGGAGCCAGGGCATTTCTTGGCTCTCAAATCAGTGATGCAGTTCAATTCCTCTGAGAATTCCGGTAGTCCCCAGTGACCCTGTAGTTGATATCCTATTTCAGTACATTTTCGAGAGGCGACAATCTCGATGTCGTCACTGCTGATCGCAACATTCAGCAGTCACCACAACGCACTCATTCGTGCAGTCGTGCTTTAGTCATCATGCATACAAAAAGCAGACGGCTAACCCGTTCGACCTTTAGAAGACAGGCATAGGAAATAGCCAGGAGCAGCAGCCGGCGGCGGCCATAGCCCAGGAGCCCGGAGCTGTTTCTTCGTCGCAGGAATGGGCAAGAATGGCATCCAGTACGCAGTGGTCAGTAATACTGCTCTGTACTCTCTTGCAGCGATACTACCTTTTCTTATCTCCCTCGCAGGAGGCCTGACATCGTCGCCGTGGTCGTCGCAGGTGGACGCCTTCACGGCGGGGCCGTTCAAGGGCAACCCCGCCGCGGTGTGCCTCCTCGAGGACGCCGCCAAGGCCGCTGACGAGCGGTGGATGCAGTCCGTCGCCTCCGAGTTCAACCTCTCCCAGACCGCCTTCCTCCTCCGGGACTCCTCCGCGGCCGGCGCCGCCCCGCGGTTCCAGCTCCGATGGTTCACCCCCGCCGCTGAGGTAGCCACCCGACTCATCGTCGCACGGTTGCGCGTAATTCGGTCTTGAGTCTTCTCTTGACACGGGCGTTCGTGACGCCGTTCCAGGTGGAGCTCTGCGGCCACGCGACGCTGGCCTCCGCCCACTTCCTCTTCACATCCGTCCTCGCGGAGCACGAGGCGCTCATCGAGTTCTCGACCAAGTCGGGGATTCATACCGCCAAAAAGGTTGCTGCGCCGGAGAGTACGGGCGTGTTAGGCGAGGGGAAACTGTTCATTGAGCTGGATTTCCCCATGATTGACCTCGTTGATTGCCATCCTTCTGAGCTGCCGTCCATCCCCGAGACGCTGAACGGAGCCTCCATTGTCAGCGTTCACAAGTCAACGATCGCTGGTGACCTCATTGTAGTTCTCCTAATCCTTATTTTACTTTCCTGCTTGAAATGTCTAGATTTTCTAATGCTACTGATGAAATGTCTAGATTTTCTAATGCTACTGATGTAGGTGCCTGCCTACTGCCTAGTAATGCACTTTGATGCCCAAGCATTATATCCAAAATTTATCAACATGAAAATGGATGGAAAGATTCCAAACAAATTTTCAAGAACGTGATAATCCTACGTACAACAGCACTAAAATTATTTGTAGGCTGCATAAAGTTTACATAGAAGCAATGAAACAAAGATAAACAAGAGTGGTAGCTGATAATGAGGGAGTTCAGTTTGTTCAGGTAACTCATCACAAGAAAATCTGATTTTGCTTTCAGGTGGAGCTTTCATCAGGAAAAGAGGTTGCTGATATCATTCCTAACATTCATGAAATTAAAATGTGTTCTGGCAGAGGAATTATTGTTACAGGGCCAGCGCCTGCTGGATCTGGTTATGACTTCTTCACGCGTTTTTTCTGCCCAAAATTTGGGATACCTGAGGTGATGTCATACTCTTTGTCCAAAATATATACATTGGGGGAGCTAAGATTGCTTAACATAAACTTAAATTGGAGTATTATACATTTTAGTATCAAATATATATAGGAGAATTTGAAACTGTTCTCATGATGTACCTTTATGGTACCTCGTGAATGCTTTATTTTCCTGCCTGTCTACTATGAATTTTGACTACATGCATGTAGTAAACACCACATACCTATATTCTTGTGGCTTCCTTTTTCTCAATTAGAGATGCATATTGATCCTTAACCAGAAGCCATACATATTCTGTGCATGGAGAATAATCTATCAGAATAGCTATTCTGTATCATGATACAATCACATTCCATCCTTCTAATAAGGCACTAAGCACCTTACAAGTCTGGTTTCACTGTTCTTGTTTATACATAACATTCTTTACCTCAGAGAATATGTTATCATGGAATCGGAATTTCTTATTGCTGCATTTATTGAAAAAAATCTACTATTTTTGTAGTAGTGAATTACAAATGTTTGTGTCTGGTACAATGTCCGGTTCTCCTGGTCCCGACGGTTTAGGAAAATTCTGTTTTGATTTCTCTCCTGTGTTAGTTTTACAAAATTCCTACTACAGCCTAACCCTCTAATAACTATGTTTTGACAGGATCCCGTTTGTGGCAGTGCGCATTGTGTCTTAGCACCTTATTGGGGCGGGAAGCTGGGGAAACACAAACTGACGGCATTTCAAGTATGTTTTTGCAACACTTTAGTATTTCCTTGATCAATCATCAGATTGGTTTTTTAATTCATTCTTGTGTCACCAGGCATCTCCACGGAGTGGAATACTATACCTGGAGTTAGAAGCTGCAGGCAGGAGAGTGCGAATTCAGGGCGAAGCTGTTACTGTGATGACTGGTACCCTCCTAGCGTAGCCGCTCAATGAACTTCCGCTGTCTTCAGTTTGGTTGTGCGGCATGATTACTCTGCAGCAAGGAATAAATTAATTCTCATTTCACCTGTCGAAAGAACTTAGATACACTGCTTCCAGTCTTTGGAATCAGAGTGTATGAGTCCGTGTTTCTGGAACAACTCAGTCGATGTTCAATGTGTCTGTATAATATTTTCTGTTTGCATTGGCTTGAATTGGAGCAATGAACTAGATTTACGGGCTGGATAAAGAACATAGATTTGAACAAACTGCCTGTGGAGTATACTGATTCGCGGTGAACGCTTATAAAGAACACCGAATGTAATGTCGGGCTCGGGCAGGTGGATTTTGTTTTATGCCCAAGGGAGTCAAAGACTATGGCTCTGAAACTTGGATCTCGCACGACGCAATTCAATTTCTATGAGAATTCTGGTACTCCCAACTCCCAAACAAACCTGCAGGCTGCATGACGGTACACTTATCTATCTATTATTTTACCACAATAGTGTTAAAAGAAGGCATCAGCCCACCATATTTTCAGAGCACAGAAATCATTACGGTAATCGAGAAAAAACCGTTAATTGGGAGTGGCTATACATCCTCAACCACACAAAAGCGAATGAAAACATGACATGATATCATCTGAGAGTTATTTAGAAATCCCGCTGCTCGATTCTGACACACCTTGGTGCTTGTCAGAAGAGAGACGGTCTGGTTGGTGCTCGGCGGAGGCGGAGCCGCGGAGGTGTCGGCGCCGGGCGTTGCCGTCGCTGTCTGTGAAGGACTGTGCTTCACTCATCGTCTTCGTCGCCTACTGAACCTGAGGGGCGTGCTGTCATCCGTATCTCCCAGCTGATTTTGGATTTCATTCGTTTTGCTTTGTCAACAAATTTTGTGTGTGCAGATGTCCCGGGGCAAAGGGTGTATCAACGGATGAGTTGGGCTAGGTGGCCAGCAAGTTATGGGCGTGAGAGAGGAGCCTGTTATCATTGATGCATGGTACCTGAATGAAGTTGGAGCGCAGACTGTTGGAGAGGTTCAGGGAGAGCTTGAACTCCGAAGGCATCACCATGTGATTATTGATTCATTGTGCTCCCACACATTCAGGAATTAAACAACTGCAGTTAAATTGATGTGCTGCACAAAAGGTGATTCTGATAAAGTATTAGTGAGCAGACTTGCACACTGCCTATATTAAGATTATATGTCTGCAGTGTAATTAGTAGTAAGTTCCTTAATTTGAGTTTGTTTCCTTTCAGTATGTTCATTAGTTTTAGTTTTTTCAGTACATATTGTTATTTTTATATTGAGCGATATCCTATTATTCAGTTTGTTCTTTTTAATTTATTTTAGTTCAAGTCATTTCAATATTTCAGCACACATTGTTAATTTTTTTAGTTGTGCAGCTTTTGCAATTGTAATTGTATGATGTGTCATTTTCAAGCAATAGTGATGGGTTACTGTCAATGTTCAGTTTCAGCTATTTGATTTTTAGAAACCTAGCGATGGAGTATTGACAATGTTCAGTTTCAATTATTTGATTTTTAGAAACTCCTTTTCAGTTGTAATGTTTCCATTAGTTTCAGTTGATTGAGTTGATTGAGTTCATTACAAACTCTGTTTTATTATTGTTTTAGTTGATTCGGTTATTCTGAAGCTCCTCTTTTTTCATGTGGGATTCCCGCGAGTGAGGGTTGTTGCTGCATGCACGTGATGTTTGTTGGAATTTTAATCACTTTTTATTCACTCTAAATTTTGGGCTAATTCTTTTTCCTTTATCTACCGGATTCTGACCTACGTGTCATGAAACGATTGGACACAAAACTGATTGATGGATTAAAATAAAATCAGCCGAAAGATGTATAGCCACTCCCATTCTAGATAGAGAAACTTACAGCCCCATACATATGGCTCACATGTCACACCATGTCGTCGGTCTCGCCGGAGCGGGTGGCCTCCGCATTCAGAGGCGGAACCAGATAAAAATCTAAGTGGGGGCCAAGACGAAGGAAATGCATGGATATAGTACCTTCAAGAGCTCCTTCTCTTTGAAATACCTACTATTACTATAGTTGAAGCAGGAGTATATAAAAAAAATCAGACCATAGGGGGGGGCCTTGGCCCCTGCTAGCCCCCCTGGTTACGCCTCTGCCCGCATTGGAGGGGCGGGGGCTGCTTGGTACGCCTGTGGCGGCGTCGCCTCTTCATGACGGCGATCACCGCTGGAAAGAGCAGCAGGCCAAGGAAAGGCGATAGGATTATTTCGGTGACGTCCACTAACAGAACATTGACAGTCAAACGAGTGAGGCGCATCAGCGTCTGGACGTCGGTAAGGAGGAGAGGAAGCAGACGGAGGATATCTCTTCTACAAACCGTAGATTGTGTTAAACTCGAGGCGGCGGTCAAGTTCGAACAACCGCCTCCGTTAATGTAATTAACGGAGATGGTCTCCCTAACTAGCTCCCTTCCGTTAATCGATTAATGGTGGCGGCCATTTCGTACATGCACGCCTCCGTTAATGATTTTCAGTTAAAAAAATAGTTTCCCACCATTTTAATTGAATTTAAATTTTTTCGCAATTTAAACACAGACAAAGCAGACAATACACATGCAGAGAACACACATCTCATTGTATGAAACTAAGACTTGCAATGTTTTGTAGTTCGCCATTTTCTAATTAAAGATGTCCGGCAACTTGTAATCCTATAAGTGTAGCTGATGCCAGTTTCTGAGCTTGTGGTACTTCTCCTAGTACGCTAGCTCGCTCTCGTGATTGAAGAACTTTCCTCCTCGATGTATGCATTTGTGCAAGACAAATCCACATATAGAGAGCATGCTGAATTCCACATATGTCCGCTATAGTTTGAGATATTTTCTTGTCGGTGACCACCCCTTCGTTCCTTTTGTCACTAGTCTTGTGATTTCTTGAGCTCCTTGTAACTGATGCTGAATTTGCCGCACGCTCTAAGGTACTCGCAAACATAATATCCACATAATAGTGTCCTTGGAGGTCCTTTGGAGCACTACACGATAACACAATCTATTAGAACATACAGAGAGCATGCACAATATAATAGCATATACGACTTTTGTTACGTACCGGAAAGTTGCGCCTGACGGTTATTGTCTTGCCACGCCTATTCTTCTTCTTCTCACTTCTGAGATCACGGGAATCGGGATCCTCCAGGTATCCTCTTGGACTCGATAAAATCCCCTTGATACACCTTAACTAGAAAACTAGTCAACCGACTAATAATCATGATTAGTCGTCCGGTCATGCCATCTGGACATCAGTTGGACTAGCCCAAAAACTTTTTATGGTGGGAAGAAGTTGACCCATCCTTAGCAAGCCCATTGTGGCAGAACCTCATAAGAAATCGGGCCCACGTGCACCTATTGATGTCTCAACAGACCTCTGATAGCGTACACGAGTTCCCAACAATTTAACAGATCTGTCGGGTGTCCTCGGGAAACCCGAATCATCCACGAATCTTTTTCAAACAGGATCTCAATCACAGACATTGCAGATTACAACAGTTTTCGATATACATACCAGAGATTGTAAAGCGGAAGACTTATATTTTAATATTACAAACCAGTTGTTTCAAACTTACAAAACCATAAGTGTTATACAACCATAGTAGCGGGATAATATTACATTAACATTATTTATTTCACACAAACTAGTGCCTTGTCCAAAGGCCATTCATCATTCCTCATCGTCATCGACTTCAAACACTGACATGCAGCAGGGACCAAAACAAGCCTGCGCATGCGACTCACCTGCAACAAGGGTTAACAAACCCTGAGTACAAAAGTACTCAACAAGACTGACCCAACGTAAAAGGGGGCGAAGGTCTTAGGGATGCAGGTGTTGGGTCAAGGTAAGGATGTAGCAAGATTCAACAGTTCTTTGTCAAAAGCTTACTATTCTTGATCCTAATTTCAAGTTTTACCCCTAAGTCTTCTTAGTTCATTATCTCAAACTAAGTGTTCATATCCCATGTTCCAATCCTTCTCATTCCATTCTTTTTCTCATGTTTTAGTAATTCACCAGTCCTGCATTGCTTCTGTAATGAAACGAGTCTCCATATCCGTGGAGCACCGGCAATTTGAATTGATTCAAGTCCCAGCTGGGGATTCCTTATCACATGACATATGTAGAACTTAATCTTGCATATATCAACCTCGCTACCGGATCCTCCCATACTAAGTCGTCTCCACGCCACCCGAGAGCACAGCACACCTCAAATCCGGCCACATTCTAGCCACGAGGGTACACGCTACTCCCGCCATCTCTCCACTCCCAGTGCGTGGGCATTCGTCTTAGTATCGGATTAGCCGAAGTAGACTTACCGGAGTATGTGACCAGTACTACAAAGTGTCTCGTTCAGAAGATCCACAATGAGTGGCCTTTAAGCGACATAGTCGGCAACATTACCCAACATTCAAGATAAGTCACCCGACTAGTCTCTAGTTCATTCTATCTTCTTTCTTTCTTTGGCCAGTATGCCATCTTTGATTGTATCGAAACTTTTACTTTGAAAGCCTACCATAAAGCAGACTAAGCAATTCTACGCCTTTGTAAATGAAATCATCTTCAAGGATGATAAACAATTAACAAGGTAGACAATGCATCAAGTAGGTAACATTTGAATAAATCAACTTAATGCAATAAGTAACATAGGTGATAAACTTTTCAAAGTAAACAAGGTAATGGTTTAATGCATAAATCGGGGCTTGCCTTCGTTGACGATCTTGGATTTCGGATCAGTACCACAAATATCAAATCCCGAGACAACCGAGGATTCTTCCACAACTTGCTCAACTAGGATCGGTTCACTCTCGGATTCTACACGAAATAATAACATATGCTTCAACATGATGATAATGTAAACATGATGCTTTCATGGTGCATGAAATGTAATAACACCTTGAGTACAACTTTCCTTCACGGTACAGTTGCAAGCCAACAAAACCAACTTGCAACTCTACCATCAAGGA